ACACCCCACCCCCCCACCCCACCCCCCCCGAAACCTGTGAGGAGGAGGATAACTTTGTCCATTACAGTTCCTTTATTGATGGTACAGTGCAGCAACATCAATTGAAATAAATACAGTTATTTGTACATAATACAAAAATATAACCCATCATAAAGTTTATACTGTGCTAGGAATTATGTATTGAGCTTCATCATTTGATATATAACATTTAAATAATATGGATAGGTACACTCAGCCGAATGCATGTATTAACATTTTCTTTTAATTTGAAAACAAACACATAAAGAGCAGTTGACTAGTTCAGTGTATCCATACATCACATCTCAGCTAAGATTTGAGAGCAAACTAACAGTTTTTCAAGTTTTCCCTTTGCCACTGCTCTCTATCGACAGCACAGTGGTTCTATAACCAAATGCTGAATGGAATTTTTGATAGTAGCATTTATTAACAGATACAGAAAAGTATTATTCAGACCACCAGCTTAAGGCACCATGGTTTCCACAACAGACACATGAAGTTACTGGCAAAAAAACAATTTTAAAGAAGGCTGAGTGTCTAGCTACAGTACTATGATGAACAACAATCTTATTTAAATATATTCTCGACAATATATTCAGTTGACTAGTGTGGCTTTTGTTTATTCTTTAAAAAAAGATTATTTAAGATTTCAACATTACTACAATCTCAAGAATGCCTCAAATCCTTGCAAAAAAAAAAAAATTCTCCCTTCATCCCTGGGTTTTAAAATGGAAAAAAAATTCCAACTGTCACTCTTGCAAGAGAATTCTTTTACAGACTTCCTTGAAATACAGCATCCAACACATTGTATAGTAAAAGTCCACTAAATTATTCTGTTCTCCGTTAAAAGAAAGTATATCTTACTGCTGATAACTGCCCTCCCCGCCCCTTTCTGTATTCCATCTGTCTCTGCTATCAACAGCATTGGTGAACAATTCATTTAAATGAAATCAAATTTCTCCTGAAGTCCTACAGAACAAACACGAGTCATTGATTTGCTCAAGACCTCTTCCCTAATAGTATCCCATGATATTGGCTGAAAAGTAAAACATATAACATCCTGACAGCACCTGCCACAAAGACCCAAATACCTTGCCAAAACTCTCTTAAAACCTAGAGTGGAAAGTAGGATTTGAAGAGGATAAGCAAGGACTAAATTCATAAGATTGCACTACAGAAATTGTGCATTCCAAATCGTACATGGTAGTTCAGATACAGAAGTACATATGAGGCATATCCACATAACCATTCTGAATTTCAGGAAGTGTTCCAGCCATACCACAAACCAGTGTCAAAAGATTATGAACACAACAAAGTCACTGCAGCTTACCTAGTTCCACTCACTGAGTAGGGGATAGAAATATTTATCAGAGGGAAAAAAAGGAGTAGATTTGGAATCACACATTATATACTTCAAGTAGTATTTTCCAAATTACTACCATAGAATCATAGAACTGTCTAGGTTGGAAGCAACCTTTAAGATCATCAAGTCCAACCATCAACCTAACACTGCCAAAACCACCACTAAACCATGTCCCTAAGCACTACATCCACCCATCTTCTAAACATCTCCAGGGATGGCAACTCCACCACCTCCCTGGGAAGCCTGTTCCAATGCTTGACAACCCTTGTGTGAAGAATGTTTTCTTAAGATCCAATCTAAACCCACCCTGGTGTAACTTGAGGCCATTTCCTCTTGTCCTATCACTTGTCACTAGTGAGAAGAGGTCGACCCCCATCCCTCTACAACCTCCTGTCAGGAGTGATAGGGTCTCCCCTGACAATACCCCCTCCATTTACCTATCACTACATTTCAGAGTAGGACCAGCTGCAATTGCTTGTAATAAATAACCAATACCCAGTGTAGTGTTGATAGAGTATCCCCAAAAGCTTTCATTTGTGTATTGATCTACTTGGTCAGCCAAAACCTTGGCTCTTAGCTGCACTTGGTGCAGAGAGTTCATGAGATTTTTCGATGCCTTACAATAATGTCAATCTTGAAGTCAGCCATTTTAATGCCAGTGTAGTGAATAATCCCAAGGTTCTTCCAATTTTCCTATGGCGGATGCCAGCAGCACATAAAATACAAAGTTGCCTTTCATTACCTCTGTTGCCTTAAGGCCCAGTGAGCAGCAGTCTTGTTATACTGTTTCTGCATCTTTTGTGTCTAAACCTTTAAAGTTTATCAACTCTCACACTGTCATTCTTTTCCTGAATTTCAGTGAAACACTTCCTCAGAAGTAAACTGCACAGGTCACACATTGTCATATGTAGAGCCAACTAAGAAGCGTATCTCAGATTCCAGTAACTCAATGAGAAACAGTGATTTCCTGCATTTCGAATACACTTTAAAATAAATAATTTTTAATTAAAATAACGTCTTCAATCACAACAGCTTAGCATATAAAAGCTAAGAACTATAGAGAATTAATCTTGCTATTGTTATCTAATCATTGGCTTCCTGCACCAGAGGAAATTTCTGACTCAACCAATACCAAAGTTTTCTGAACTACTAGCTAAAATCCAGATGTAAGAATGACATAAAACTGGGAAGAGAGGTTAGAATAACATTCTGTATGTTAAAAACAGACATTCTTCACTTAAGTGAACTATGCATACCTTACGGTGAAAAGAGGTCACGATGAACTTTGGTCATGTTCCGTATGTGCTCAGATTTCTGAACAACTGGTAACTTTAAGATACAAGATCTATCTGCAAGGACCGAAAACAGCTTTCTACTCCTTTTTCATGACTGAGTTAATAATGGATTAACACAAGGAAATTGAAATCATCTTGTATGGTTGGTTCCAACCTCAGTCATCTAAATAGACATATGACAACAAAGTACCTATAAAAGCAGTGCAAATATAGAAGCTCCATGACAGGGGAGAAAAAAAAAGAAAGAAAGACAAAAAAGCAGCATGGGTTTGCTCAATCATGGTTCACTATTTCGCCTTCTCGCAGATGAAAGAAGTTATCTTCTTTGAGTTTAAGATGTTCTGGTAAATCTAGCTGTCTTTTTGCTTCTTCAATGTCTTCCTGAATTGCTGAAATGAGCGCCTCTAAGACGTAAGAACAGGGATGTTTAAAAGTTGGTTTGAATTCTGAACACACAATAGCACATGAAAATAACGTGTTCCACAGAGTACCAGACAACAATCACAGAATTAGAATATAATTATTACTATGAGGTTTGAAAGGCAAAATTATTTGGGTTTAAAATGCCTTTAAAAAATAAAAAAATGCCAGAATTGAATTTTTCACTGTTACAAGCACTACCCTCTCCTTGTTCTAAAAGACATTTTAGTAAAAGAACAGTTTCATTAACTGCTTCCATTTTAACACAGCTGCATCTTAAAAATAAATTAACAGACTAGACTGATGCTTTTACAACAAGCCCATGATTTTAAAATTACTCCTCAGACAAGTGACACAAAATTACAATTTTTTAGTGTAATACATTGGAAGATGTAGGGGGGGTTGTTTTTTTTTTTTAATTAAAATGACTTGTACATTTAGCTTATGATAACATTTTACTGAAATTCCAAAGGTGAACAGATAAAATATCTCATTATGGAAAGAGAGACAGTGAGGACAGTACTTTTCATGAATAAGACAAATAAGAGACTAGTTTGAGGGAGACGTGCAATACTGACCTAAGGAATCAAAGTTTTTTTCTGGTCGAATATATCCAATTATGACTATACTAAGAATTTCTCCATAAAAGTCTTCTTTGAAAGTGTGGATAATGTGCGTTTCCTAAAAGAAGAAAAATAAGTCAGCATTTATGATGAACTTTGAGTTTACTTCTCTCACCATAACGACGTACAACTAATACCCCTATTTCAAATTCTCAACAACACATACCAATAAAAGGGACATTTAGTTTAGTAGGTATAATGTAAGATTAAAAGGCTAGGGCTTTTGCTTACATAAGGAAGGAGAATTGTACTTTGCATGGAATTTAAGAAAAAATATTCACTTAAGAGTATTCTGATAGCAAAAAAAAAAAACCACATGAAAAGAAAGACATTACTCATGAGAAATGCTTCACTGCATCTCAGAGGTAAGATTTCCAAGGCAGAAAATTACAAACAAAGGTTAATGCTTCATAGTTAAGTTGATATATCAAAATAACTATGAAGATTTTGACTGAAAAAGTTGGCTTAAGGAGAGCTTTTACAACCAGCTCTCATCGGAACTGAATGATAAAATTCAAGAAGGAGTGAAGGCTGACACAGGGTTCCATCTAACACTGAAAACCATTTCATGCACATCTCCCCCTCCAAAATAGGCCCGGCCACAGTATACACCAGCAGAGACACCAGATTTGACTACTTGCTCAGAAAAGTTATCTGCAAAAATGTAAAAAAAATATAGAAGCACATTACTAAGTCTTCAAATGCTTAGAGCCTTAGAAGCAGAGATTCATGCCCAAGTGTTCTAAACAATTAAAACAGAGCTCTGCAAGGTTCAGAAAAAAGACCAACACCTGACAGTAAGAAAAAACACAGCTGTCACAGCTCAGGATTTTAACTCAACTCCTCCATCCTATTATTATGCACATTCAAATATTTATTCTGTGTATCAAGCCACATATATGGATCCTTATGTATGGTTTCCATTATTTAAGAGAAGAATAGAAAATTATTACAAATCAAGATGCCCCAACATCTCTTATTGGAAATGTAGATAGATTCCAGAGAACAAGAGATTAGTATGTTCCATCTTATGCTAGGGCTCTCATAACCAGTAAATTCAATGCATCTATAAGATTACGTTTAGTTAGCTATCAGCACCATAAGCAACTACCATTTCAAAAATACTGTTAAATTTTTATTTTGGCAGTATTTAAGTAAGGATGGATTAGGAAAAAAAAATAAAACTTTAGCCACCCAGAGCTGCATACTCTCTGGCTACTGAGAGTATTTTCTTTTCAGAATACAAACATATTATATAGATACTGAATACATTTCCAAGAGCAAACAGAATTTCTAGATCTCATTTATGGATCAAATTCTGCTTATCTTATTCAAATTCAACACTGGCTCATCAATTATAACAAAAATCCCACACAAAGCAAAATTCTTACCACTGATTTCTTAATATTCTTATAGAAAGGATTCCATCCTATGCTCAAAACCATTTTATGCACATCTCCATTTCCAACACAGGCCCATCCATAGTATATACCAGTAGAGATATCAGATGGAAAGCTTTCCACTACTTGCTCAGAAAAGTTAGCTGCAAAAATTTTAGAAAGTGTAAAGTGTGAGTGACCTTGTGTAAGTCAAGGACATAACAGAATGCTCAAACACTTAAAAGCCAAACTCTGCCCACATGCTCTTTACAAACAACACTGATGATGGTTATAATGATACAATAGGCCATTTGGCAAAACATAAAATACGAAACAGCTTCATGAAATTCAGTCCCTGTGGTAATACCAGAGTTGTCACATCTCTTACACATACTATGTTTTATAGTTATACACATTCTCCTCTGTGGCAATAATTAATAAGCATGTAGTCAGAACACATTTCACTCTTAAGGTAACTATCACAGCTTTAATATGGTGAAAGATGAGGGAAAAAAAAAATCAAGATTATTCTGCATTGTAAAATAGCATCTCAGAACTATTTACTTGTTAGTAAAATAATTACTTACGAAATAAAATATTTAGGAATAAATGCAATTATGATTTAGTTGCCTGTTGATTTTGTACAAGTTGTCTTTCACAGGCATCTGTGGATTTCTGGGATTTTCTTTGAAAACTACGTATCTACAGCAAAATAAATTCCCTCCTGACTGAATCTAACATTCTTTCAAAATTACTATCCTACTTTTACTTCCCACATGAGTAGATCTCTTCATGCAAGACATCAAGCTGACTGGAAAGAATTTATTGTTACTGAATTTTTATCAAAGCTTACAAGCAGTAACAACTTCCCTCCCCTGTTCCCTGATACTAATACACCATTCATACACAATCAAGAAAAAAATGTGAAACTATTAACAGACGTTGTTAGAAATCCAGCACTTCAAGACTGTTCTTATTAAGTTTCCTCGTCTGCTAGGAGTGGTGCAATGTGACTGGTGACTTCAGTGTCTGTTAAAGACAGACTAAAACTCACTTGAATTACACCTCTATATGTGTTTAGACAACTGAAACAGAGCTGAACAATAGGAAAATGTTTTGCGGTTTTTTTTGTAGGCCAAGCCCATCTGCTCTGTTTTTGAACCTTTGCGTTATTCCCATTGAGCTTCCTTCCTCACAGCTCCTCCCGATGCCTACTCCCTTTCTTGTTCTCATCTGAGTTTCATGCAAACGGATATTTCCCAGGCTGCCACACCACAATACCGTGCATGTGATCACTTATCGACATCCTGTACGTACTCGCGACGACCATTAGGTAATTAAACGAACAAGAAAACAAAACTGAAAGAAACCGCTTAATAGAATGGGGGAAAATAACATAAAACAGGATACGAGACTCTAAGCAATACAGGCGGGGGGGGAAGAAAAAAGGTAAGACGGAATAAGCCAAGGCTATTCACGTAAAGAGCAAGTTATGCCAGTAGCGCAGCTGTGCGGGACAGCCGGGCGCCTCCCCAGTTCAAAGGGGCTCGGTCA